AATAGATCCCTTTCACCTAAATCTTAGACACTGGACCTTTAAGCTGGCAGCTTTAATAATTTTGAGCAGCCTTAACAACTGTATTTTAGAAGGAAGCCATTGCTAGTGCTTTCATTTGTATTTTACAAACAGGCCAGTAAGGGTGTTGTAAAAGAGGAAGACCTAATTAGCCTGATTTTATATGAATCCTTTAATGTCAGGACCCCTGTGCTGGAGGGCCTGGGTCACACAGGGTAAAGTGGAATAGTGGCCATTAGGGGCCAGTGACATATGATGTTACACCATGCAGAGGTTTCCAATGTCATTTGTCTGCCGGTGTACATTTATTTGATAGGGACAGTGCTCATTGATCAATAGACAAAATACTGGAAATGAGCCACAGTTGGCTGTATAGGTTAAATTTAGTCCCAAGCAAGCACACCTATAATATATATAAATATCTACAGTACAAAGCACACCATCCATTGTACAGCAAACTCATGATTTACACTACACATAAAAAAAACGTACAAGTATAAGACGGCTTCACTATGCAATACAACTTGAAGTAGAAATAAAATTTGAAATTCAGTAGATGAAATTCAAAATGCAAATATGCATTAAGCGTATAAAGAGATGTGGAGTAGCCTGGGGCAGCATAATGGAAACAGGGTTATTTATTATAGAGCACAATCAGGTTTGGACATTTTCACCACTGAGTTTAAAGAATGTAATCACAGCCAATGTTTCCACCAGCAGGAAGAAAGTGTGATGGACCCATTACATTTCATGCATTTACAATGGGGTGGCTGTGAGCATGGTTACAGGCAGAGTAGTCATGTGTGTCTGTGTGTGTCTATACTGTGCATGTATTAGTCTCTTTCTATTTAAAGTGACATAAGGGAAATTAAGTGCGTTATGGAGAGTCTGATAAAAGGCTGCTTGAGGATGTAATTGTGTTGCCGAGGCTGTTTCTTGTTCCCTTTTTGTCTTTTTTTAAGAGTTGTGTCTCCTCAGCTGAAACAGTCGTATTTATCCACCCTGGAGCAAAACTTGTCAGGGCTGCACACACACACCGAACTTCTGCAAACAAGTTAACTCTGAGACAGAGAGTGGTGGGTGTATTGTGAAAAACACAACAGCAACAACAAGGATGAGAAATGCAGAGAGGGAAGGAGGAGGAGACGAAAACAGAAAGTAAATTAAAAATCATGGGAAGGGTGATGCAGACTGTGCTTGTGCTGTATATACCCCAGGAAATACTGATAGGAATAATAATGTCATAGTGATGTCATTTATACCACATAATGACGAATGATTGGTCAAGCTAAGCTGCAGATCGTGTCTCTAATGTTATTGGTTGCAAAAGCTCCCATTTTGCTTATCATATGATGATATGTGATGGGGAAAAGATGTTCTGGTCAATATAAACTGTGGATTGTCTCTGCAGATTATTATTTGTTTAGACATCTGGAGATAACTACCCATGAAATAATCCCACCAAGTTCAGCTAAAGATTTTGTACATGTACGTGTGCGCGCACACCATTCATGACGAGAAAAGTATCAAGACTCATTATTTGTTGAGATTTCCAAACTTTTAGAAGTTAGGGTCTGTATCTTAAAATAAGTCAGATCACTGCACTAAGCTCACTGGACGACAATCCTACTGAACAAGGATAAATCAGGTGATTTATATTGGCAGATCTAGTTTTAAAGGTGTTTTGATTTGTGCCACTAAATAACTTCAGATACATTACAGATATAAACTAACAAATAAAATGTATGTACATGACTGGCACTAAAGCTGGAGATGAGGCACAGAGGTGAGAGTGTGGTTAGGGCACACTGTAATTCACTGAAGGGAACATTTAGTGAGTGAGAGTGGTATCATTCTCTTCAGAGAGCTTTAGTGCGTCTGTAGAGGTGCGGAGGTAACAGCTTATGTCAGTGCAAGATAAATGGAAGGTGGCTTGATAATAAAAGGTCCTGGATGCTGATTTCTTTCCACAGAATCTGGCAGGTGGAGGTTCCATATGTAACTCCATCATTATGTTATATTCCATTTCTAGGTGAAACTTAAGGTCACAGAATTGATGTTTGCAGTGTCCGAGGCAATTTCCATTGGAATTCACTTATTCTGTGTCAGCTTGGATCAGTGCATCAGTGTAATTTTAGAACATCTCTGCACACAAGCTGTAAACCAAGGGAAAACTAGAGGCTCACAAATCTCCCCCTTCTGTTAGTTTTACTGTCACAGAGCGGAAAAGAGGGCAGACACACTGAGGTCAGAGTAAGCAAGACTAATAGACACAAGAGACAGTGCTGTATACACCACAGACAGAGAGACAGATGGGAAGTGAGATGCAGAGAGACAGGGAGACATATAGAGTTTAAGAAAGAGGCACAAATGGCCAGAGATAGACTGGGATACAATCGATAAGGACAAACAGACGGGCACGACGAGATGTAGTAGTGCATGTAGACACAGGATGTATTTGAGACAGAAAGCAGGAGAAAGCGAAAACAAAACAACACCAGAGAGAAAACCATCCTCACATTGTCCAGAGGAAGAACCAGAGAGATGAAGAGCAGATGTGAAGAGGCAGCTGAGGTGAGGCCAGTGTTGCTGACAGCTGCAGGGCTGTGCTGCTCAGGATGCAGAGGACGGATTGATGGATGGAGGGAGGACTGTGAGGGACAGGCGCAGAGGTGCAAGGAGTTGTTACAGAGAGATCTGTGAAGAGAATAAAAGGAAGTCCCCCCTCGACCTGTTTACTCAGGGTTACGGGTAGTGGTCCGAAGTGAAAGAAGTGTGGTGCTGAAGTGTGCTTCACTCTTATGTCAGAGCAGTGACGTGTGCACAGGGATTTTCACAGGGAGAGGACAGAAACTGATGTGTTGTTGGCGACACCTTAAAAGAATCCTTTTTTTCTTAAGTTCAGATAAGGTGAAGAACCTTATGATGCATTATAGAATAAAATAATATATCATAAAATAGTTGTGAGGTATGAGTCAAGTTGGAAAATATCTCGACAGCCACACCAATGCAGAATGCAAATGTTATTATTCTGATGTTGACTTTTTTTTCTCAGATGTTACTTTCTGAAATCAATAAACACATTTTTTTGAAAGATAAACAGAAAATAGCTACACTTTCATACAGTATACTGGGAATAAGTGCTGAAGCATTTCTGTGACTAATGATGTAAGACTCATGTTTAAAATCTAGTTATATATACATATGTATTCATGTTTATATGTAGTATACTAGCAGAATAGTATTTTTATCATTTGCTTGACTAAACGTGGAACTTCCTATTCTTTATTTCAATACTGCAGTATTAAGGATTGTGGTTATCTCCCTGAAGCAGCGTCTGCAGGATTGCATACAGACTTTGTGCGTTAGGTGTGAAAAAGTCCACGAGAGAGCCCTCAAAGCACGAGCGGTTTTACAGTGCGCTACCCTGAGAGCTCACAGACTCACAGCGGATGTGAAGTGTGTGAATGAACACTGGTTCTGGAAGTAAAGCTTTGCCAGCTCAGTTGCGCTGTGGTATCGATCCTCTGGGAAACAGAACAAGAACAAAGGTTCCATCTCATCGACCTCATTTCCTCTGCCTTCACCCAGTCACTCAGGTGAAACATAATACATGAGTGTTTGTAAAAGACTATCTCTCTCTCACATGCATACACTCCACTTATTCGTACCACAACGTGCATTATATTTCATCCTTTGGCACATTGTAGTAGTATGTGGACATCATAAGCACATGTCACTATTTTACTGACATGCAAGTGGAATCAACAACACACACACAGTATCACTGCATCACAAATATGAGACTAAAGAACAGTTCCAAAGTGGAAAAATCACTTTCTAGAAATAGAAAAACTGCTCGTTCCTCCAAGTTTAAAAGTAAGAGCATGTACTAACTCATATATAGTTGCTTGTATGTTAATGTGCATAAAAGTAAAAATGTGTGTGAGTACTTATGGAAGAAGAGGTTATGAAGATTATTTAAATCTCTGGGTTGTTACAGGGTGGATGCTGCTTAGGAAAAGTGACGTAGCATCTTCCACCCTAACTTGGTGTGTGTGTTCATATGTATTTTTGTGTGTGTTTTACGAGTGTACTTTCACACTCAGGATGAGCTTTGGCTTGTGTAAGGAGCTTTCTGGAGGAGACTGAGGCACGGCTGACAGCGGCTGGGGATTAGCTCTCACCGAAGAAATGTCCATGAAAAGAGTGTGCGTGTGTGTGTTGCTTGGCATTAGGAATGTGTCAACATAAAACAACAACAGATTTCTCTGTTCTTTAAACAGCTGGATGCATCTGGCGGCCAGCTTCCCTTATCTATACCGTGCATCTGCTTCATACACAGTCAGCTGCGGGTCATTTCAAACAGACTTCACACAGTCGACTGGCTGCTGTAATTGGAGCTGTACAGGATGATAACAGCACAGATATAACTGCATAAACTTGGCAGAAGATGTTTACAGTTTACTGTATGCTGCAATTAAGCCAGT